AGTCAGTTATGCACCTAGAGAGAACTAAGTCTATCCCCCTCACTCAGGGGAAGAAGACCTGAGGCAGTTTTTACCCTGGGTGGGGCTTGAACCCACCAGCCTTGGCTTAGGAAACAAATGCCTTGTCCATTAGACCAACCTTTTGCAATGGCTGGAGGCATGCAATTAAGTAGAGATTAAACAAGGCGCAGGGGCTGAGACAGCTGGATAAACCAAGAGCAGCCAGCCCCACACAAGCGAGTGGGGATCCCACTGGATTGTCACTGGGGTGCATAGAAGCAGAATTCCAGCTCTGGGATCCACACAAGTGACCTGCCAAAATAACTCGTGGTTAATTCCTTGTGGATTTTAGAGCCTTCTCCTGTGCACGTCACAGCAAACTTCCTACCCGTGTGTTTTACTTCCAGCATAATGCACTGGGCACTGGGTAGGTACATGATTTTTACAAATCTATTTAGTCTCGTCTACATGCCCCTTTTCGGTTATGTCTGGGGTTTCCATGCACATTACAGTGGCTCCATTTATGCTTTGGTTGCAGTCCATTTTAAATATAAAAGGCCGGAGCTCCAAAGAGTCACGTTTAATCTGCCCCACAAAAAAAATCGGCAAATTGTAAACCACGCAGGCACCCTACTTCTTGTGAAATGTAAACACGTTGCAGGAAATACAGACATAAGGGGTTTCAAAATTCTCCATAGGATTAAACAGAGATGCATTTTTTTTATTTTCGATCTGGCGCGATTCCTTCCTGGTGAATTCAAAAGCTGCAAAGAAGCAATTAGCTGGAAGTGGGCTGCCATTATGAGCTTTCTCTTCAGCTCACGAGGTTATTTTCATGTGCTACTTCAAAAGAAGCAGCCCATCAATTTAACTGGGCCGCTATTTAGCTCTTTGGTGCTGCTCCATTTGATTTCAGTGGGAATACACAGCTGAGGTCATTCGCCCTCTTCGTGCTTTTAAAAATCCAATCACCTTCCCGTGTACAATCCCTGGAATTTCAAGCCTGCGATTCCTACACAGACACGCTTGTGATACAGGGAGAAATGCGCTTTGTTTTACATAAAGGACACATGGATGCGTCTGAGGCTGTTCCGGGGGGAGGAGGAGCGGGATAGAAATCTAGCTGCTGAATGCACACAAGGCAAGTTTAACATCCCTTTAACATTTTACTATACTCAAATCAGAACAGGATGTTTCCTCTCCAAATTCTAGGCATCTTCGAACAATCCCAAACGGTTTTGCAAGATTTCGCCTCTTCCCATTTTCCAAAACGCTCTGGTTTTTAAATCGGTCTCACGAAGGAAAAATCCAAAATGCATCGATTTTTTTTAAACGAGTCGATTATTTGGCAAGCTAATGCCAAATAGAAAAAAATGCCACCGTAGCTTAACAACCAAATAAAAGAAGCAGTGAGAGATAAAAAAGCCGTCCTTTAAGAAGTGGATGACAATTCATAGTGAGGAAAACAGAAAGGAGCAGAAACTTTGTCAAATTAAGTGTAAAAATATAGAAAATAAGAAAAATAAAAATAAGAAAAGCCCAAAAAGAGTTTGAAGAACAGCTAGCCAAAAACTCAAAGGCTATGTCTACATTGCAGGCTTTTTGCACAAGTACACCTGTTCTTGCACAAAAACTTGCGGGGTGTCTACACTGCATGGCTACGTCTAGACTGGCATGATTTTCCGGAAATGCTTTTAATGAAAAAGTTTTCCGTTAAAAGCATTTTCGGAAAAGAGCGTCTAGATTGGCACAGATGCTTTTCCGCAAAAGCACTTTTTGCGGAAAAGCGTCCGTGCCAATCTAGACGCGCTTTTCTGCAAAAAAGCCCCGATCGCCATTTTCGCGATCGGGGCTTTTTTGCGGAAAACAAATCTGAGCTGTCTACACTGGCCCTTTTGCGCAAAAGGACTTTTGCCTGAATGGGAGCAGCATAGTATTTCCGCAAGAAGCACTGATTTCAGACAGTAGGAAGTCAGTGCTCTTGCGGAAATTCAAGCAGCCAGTGTAGACAGCTGGGAAGTTTTTCCAGAAAAGCGGCTGATTTTCCGGAAAAACTGGCCAGTCTAGACACAGCCCATGCACAAGTAAAATTACAGTACAGCGTCGGAAAACTGGGCTTCTTCCAGAAGAGTTATTTCTTTCCCCACGAGGAATAAGCCCTTTTGCGCAAGAGCTCTCCCACAAGAATGCAGTGTAGATAGACAACATGATTTTCTTGCGCAAGAAACCCCTATGGCTAAAATGGCCATCAGAGCTTTCTTGCGCACGAGAGGGTCCACACTGCCATGGACGCTCTTGCACAAAAGCACATGGCAGTGTGGTCGCGCTCTTGTGGAAGCCCTTTTGCACAAGAACTCTTGAGCAAAACAGTCCTTGCGCAAAAAGCCGCCAGTGTAGACGTAGCCAAAAAGTTATAGTAAAATGTTTTTTAAGTGTATCAGAAGCTGGCTAAAAAACCAGTGGGGCTCTTGGATGATCAGGATGCTAAAGGAGCACTCAAAAGATGATAAAGTCACTGCGGAGAAGCTACATGAATTCTTTGCTTCAGTCTTAACAGCTGAGGATGTTGGGGAGATTTCCAAACCTGAGCCATTCTTTTTAGGTAAGGAATCGTCCCAGATTGAGATGCCATTAGAGAAGCTTTGGAACAAATTGATGAACTTAACAGTAACAAGTCACCTGGGACCAAATGGCATTCACCCCAAGAGTTCTGATATTTTTTGGGGTCTTTTGGGCCTGGCACTTATTGAAACACAAAACTTGAGGAGTGGGTGGAAGGTCAGTTTTTCTATTCACTTCTGCCACTTCGGTGTGAGCCAGCTGTTTTCTGGCCCATATATCTGTGGAGGAAGTGAAGAGGGAAGCCAAAAAACTTATTTTTTTCCTCATTTAAAGAAAGAAGAAAAAAAAAGGTGCCCCAGATTAGAATGCACCCAGGGGAGAAACAAAAAAAGCAAGTTACTGGGCACCCTGTTGTCTTCAATTACGATGGGATTATTCCCACAGATGGGAGGACTTGTGTATTTTTAACACCAAGGTTTTTTAATACCAAGGTTGTTTTTCTCCAAAGCCTCAGTTTTCTCCTGGTTGGTGCAATGTCTTACAATCGGATTCTATCTGGACGCACAACAGAGTCCTCCAGGGACTCTCGGCTCCGTCTGGCAGCTGGCAAGACCCTCTCCTTGTTTGGTGGGTAGGCTGAATTCCAGGTAAAATCCGGAGGCTGGGTCTTTTCAGAAATCAGGCTGCTGCTGCAAAAAACGCTGCACCCCAGCAGTCGTTCTTCGGTGTCCCTTTTGGGAAGCCTGATTTATCGCTAATAACTCACATGCTGAAAAGGGAGCCAAGCTGAGATCTGGTTGGTCAAAGGAAAAGCTCTGCCAGTCCTAAAATCCGCCTTCAAAACGTCACCTGGCTCCTGTCAGCCCTGTGATGCTAATTAAGTCTTTTTCGTTCAAATATGCATTTCATTGGCCCCAGACCAAACCCATCTTGCAGGTTCATTTGTCTAGAGCACCCCTTTAAAAAAATCATAAGTACTCCCAGTACCTACAGTTTTCAGACACACAATTTTTTTTCTACCATTGCAACACATTTGTTTAAACAACTTCATCGTAACCAGGTGGGTGATGACATTTTGGGGTGTAAAAAGTATAAAAATAATAAAACGCTGTAAAACATAAAACAAAAATTCAGTTTTCTCCAATTTCAGTTGTGTTGATGTACCCCCCGACTTCTCTCGAGTGCCCCTAAGGGTACTCGTACCACTGGTTGAGAAACACGGATCTAGAGCATTCACGTTCCTCACAGCTCTTCGAGGTCTTAGTTTTCTTCAAAGCTGGTTCCTTCCACTCCACAATTTTGCAACTTATTTTTGGAGAGAAAATCTGGTTGTATACAGTCTCAGAGGAGTCGCCATGGTAAATCTGTAAATTTAAAAACAATGCGTAGTCCTGCGGCACCTTACAGACTAACCAAAATATCCAGGGGTCATGAACAAAACCCACTTCATCAGATGAGCTGGAGTGGAAATAACAGAAACCAAGAGATAACAGCAGGAAAAGTACTCAATTGTTGGCTCTGTTAATGAGGCTAATTAAGTGGGCCAGTCATAGCTTTTGATGTGGAAATGCAGATGTTAAAGGCAGGAGAAATTGGCTTTGTAATGTGCCGAGCAGTTAATGTCTTTGTTTAAGCCCAGGGTAACGGTGCCAACTCTGAGTGTAGATTAACCTGACTTTACAGATGAACACAGCCACCCCTCTCAGACTAGGAGGAAGAAAAATCAATCAACTATTTTGAGCTGAAGGTAAGGCCACCAGGGAGTGATCACAGAAGAAGGGACCAGATTCTGATCTGTTCCTACCCATATCAACTCAAGTGAAGTCACTCTGGACTAAGGCAGGAAGCCTCTTTCGATGAAAGGCTCCATCTACTTTAACCCAGTGTGGATCTAGGTTTCCTTCTACCGGCTGGACCAGATATGTGAGGCCATGAATCTGATACTGCCTGGATGTGATTCTTTCGCTCAAAGCATAGCAGTTCAAGATTTAAGATCCATCCGCCAACAGGTGGAGGGGTTATCAGGAGGCAGCAAGCTTGGGAAACAGATCCACAGACAAGCACCAGGGGTCCTGCCTCTGGTGTAATCCACAGCCCTGGGGGACGAGAACTTTTCCAACCCTCCTTTGCATTGCTAACTTTAAAAGCCGCCTTCCCCCAACCCATAGGAGTGGGGCTGGGAGGAGGAACACCCAGGAGCTGGGACCTTGGGAATTTCTGAAAGCCCAGAGCCGTCTAGATGGTTGTTAATATTTTATTGACCGTTTCACAAACAAAAGAACCATTTCAGAGAAACTGGGGTTCCGGGCAGGTGCCGGAAATTCTGAGCATGGAAGTTGCCAGGTGCTCCAGCTTGTGTCAGGGACAGGAAGCCTCCATCAAGCTGGTCCAGGGAGCTTTGCTTTCTGAATGAACTCCTCCTTGTGGGTGCCGTCGCAGATCCGTCGCAGAAAGGCTGGAGGGCAAAAGGAACAAAGATGTGGTTATCCTGCGGGCCACCGGGCGAAGAGGAACAGCGGGGCTGGTGGGAAGGAGAGAGACTGCTTCCCGGAGCTCAGGTTCTGATCCAGCCCCCACCACCTGAGGGCCGCATAATTTTTTAGGTATTTACCAGAAGACCTACACAGGGCAGGGGTCTGGCGGTGGGGAGGGTGCAGGCGTCAGGGCAGGGGTCCTGGCTTGATTTTAGTGACATAGAAATATTCAGGCCACAGTTGATATTAAAAGGGGAGAGTAAGTCTTTATGGGAGACAGCCGTGAAAGTGTATTAAATCAGTTTCTAGTGTTGAAAGTTTGTAGCTGTGCTTTTTTCCCATGGGTTAGTCACAGTCCCTTTTACAATCATCCAGGCCTGGTTTCTGGTATCTCCCAAAAAACACACAGGCACGAATCCCTCCAAATCAAGGGGACTGCAAACCAATTTGTGGCTCAGGGGTGCCTCATGGGCTGCTGCTGCTGTTAGGGCAGCAACAGGCCTGGTGGTTGGGCTGGCTATCTGAACCCTCAGCATGGAAGAGTGTATTATTAAATGGACTTAGCGTGGGGCTAAGACCTGAGGATCCCTGTATTCTAATCTGGGGAAAGTGAATTCTTTCTGGGGCTTAAGTCACTTAAACCACTCCTTATTTTTATGTAGCCCTATGTAAGATGGAGACAATGCTACATATCGCCACACCTACTTAATGTATGGAGCGTGGTGATTAAATAGTGAATTAATAATTGTAAGGCACTTTATGCATATGCTAGAACTCTCCAGATTATGCAACAGGGACAGAGGCCTAGTGACTCAGACTCCAATCTCATTTGAAGAATATCCCCTCGATAGTAAACATTTCTGACTATTACAACCCTAGCATAAGCAGCTGGCCTCCTCTTCTCCAGTGGAATTCAGCATGAAGTTATGCTCCAGACCCTTTTTCTATAAAATGAAGTGGTAAGTTCGGGGTTCTCCATAGAATCACCATTTTAACCCACCTAAACGCCTCATCCAGGCTGTGATCAGTGGGGAAGAGTTACTTCTATTTGGCAGGGGAAGAGGGAGGAGGATGGAAAAATGGATCCATAGACCCACTCAGAAGTATTCAGGCCACATGTGAAAATGTCAAATAGTAAGGAGTCCATTGAAGTCAGAGGTAAATATCTCCAGCTGTCCAGTTTGCCCATTCTGGGCTTTAGATATAGCTGAAATAAGGCTATTTTCTTTTTATGACTTACATTTATAGTATTTAGTTTATTAACGAGCACTGGTGACAAATCTTTTTGCACTTGGTGCTGTCTATTGTAAACTGCATTCTTACTGCCTCCGAGCTGGCTTGAGCAGCCATATTGGG